TCACCTATTTAGACCTTCAGTTTCCATTTTTTCAATTTCTTTAACAGACTCCAGGTCAACTGTAACCTCATTATTGTCAACTTCTTCTCCAGATCTGCCTTCCTGATATAGTCAGACAGCATGGTCTAGGAAGATAAAAACATATTCTCAATCCTAAGTTAGAATTTGTTTGCTTTACCTGACTGAATTGTCTTTCTGCTGCTGTACTTCCATCTTTTGTTAAATTTTAAAAATTTAATAGTGTATGTTGGCAAGTGAAGTCTATTATGAACTGTGAATTTTGTAGGGAAAGATCCTCCCTTTTGTTTTTGTAATTTAATTTTGATTGTACAGTGAGCATGTTCAACAATCCTTGACCTTGTGTGTTATATGGAAACCGTGTGATAAGGGAAATGTGAAAAGTTTTACAAATCTTTGGAAAGCATCACTTGTATATGCTGGGCCATTTTCAGTTTTAAGTGTCTGTGGTTAACCAAGGGCACTAAAGTCATCCAAACAATGAGCAATGACATGTTTGGCTGCTTTACTAGTGTGGGCAGAAGCAAAAATAAACCCTAAGGAGTTGTCCACTGAAACTTGGACTCAGTGTAAATTTAGAAATATGACTGCCATCCATCTGCCAAAGATGATTGGGGTGTATCCCTCTGGGATTGACCCCCATAGAAGGTGAGGGAAGTTGTATTATACATGATGAAAATTGTTTAACAGTTTCTTGCACCTGTTCCTGGGATAAATGGAACTATTTACATAAGGCGGAAGCATTTTGATGAAAGGTAGCATGAGAAGCAGAAGCCTGTTGAATGGTATCTGAGGGAGTAATAGTGACAGCGTCCTGCAGTCTGTCTATAGCAGCGTTCCCCTTAGTGAGAGGTCCTGGCAAATGGGAATGAGAACGTATATGACCAATAAAACAAGAAACATGATGAAACTATGTGACAAATTGGAGAATGTGAAGTAGATGAAAAAGATCTTCTTGACCAGTATGTATTGTGGCAGTTTCAATATGGCACCTTACACCATAGACACTGTACTGTGTGAAAAGAGGTTAATTGGAGTGGATGAATGATCTTGCAAGGCCTATATGACTGCTTGTAATTCAGTCTTTTGTGGAGAAGAGAAACTTGCATCCTGTATTATGGAAGAGGAGGCCATTGAGTAACCTCCCCTACCTGAAGATGACCCACCCATGAAGATGGAGATGCCTCCTGCTATGGGGACTGAGCTTATTTTTGAAGAGAAGACAAAAGATGTGAGGGAAACAAATTGAATTAATTTTTCTGAAGGATAATGACAATAACACCAGAGAAATTAGCCCAAAAACTGGATGGAGCTAATTTTAATATTGCCAAATAGTCTGAAAATCATTTTAGATTGATATGAACAGTTTGGGGTAAATTGTTTTTATCAGAATAGGTGACCCAAATATGAAGAAGTTATTATAGATTGTACTCTTTGGAGGCCACCACCAGGCCTGCCATTATTTAAATAACATGTCAAAATCAAGCAACTGTTTAAACCCCACTGCTTTTAGATTGTACACCAAACTTTTGTATCTGTTTGTGAAATTATAAAGTTTTTCCATAGAAATTAATTTAGGACTATAAAACCCACAATCAGCATCAATAGAAATCATAAGAACCCCAAAGACTTATAAAACCTTTTAAATCAGCAGCATATGCTGTATATGATGTCAAGAAGACTATAATTAAGGTAAGATAGTTTTATTAGCTTTATAATCTAAAATGAAGGAATTTTTTACTATAGCTTTAAAAGACAAAAGCCATCACTGAAATATACATTTTTTGAGACAAGGGGCAAAGTTTTTATTTATGGGAATTATTATTTTACTTTTTAAATTTGTTTTTCACTTTCAAGTAATCTTTTAAATATCCCCATTAGATAAAATCTTAGAAAACATAAATTTTTAACTAAAGGCAAACTTTTTATCTTCAGGAATGAAACAGCCTTTTCAATTAATCACCTTAAGGGGAAGATGTAAAGACTTCTCTTTTAGTGTAAATTGCAAAGGAGAAAGAGAAAAAACCCACTCTATTCCCTATGAGGCTTTTTTCCCTGTGAAGCAGAAATTCCCTGGGAGGCTCTAGTCCCTGCTGAATGGCCCTTTGCATCCCTCCAGATCAACAATTTAGAACTTTTATTATTGTGGACCTGTAGCTGCCACACCCAGAGGCCATCTGCACTTGTGTCTAAAAGCCCTTTAAAATGTGTTTCCTTTAAAGAATTAATTCTATCTTTGAACCCAGTGTATCTCTTTTTTATTTATAACTTTTAAATTTGGGGGCTGGGGATTTAGCTCAGCGGCAAAGCGCCTGCCTGGCAAGCGCAAGGTCGTGAGTTCGGTTCCCGGTACCGGAGAAAAACCAAAAAAACAAACAAACAAACAAAAAAAAAACTTTTAAATTTTTGTCAAACAAAGAATGACCAACTGAGCATTATGAGAGTCTGTGGTGATTTAAGCGATGTCTTGAGTAACCTTAATTTTGCGTGTATAGTCAGAATCAATGACACCAGGTAAAACCTGAAGAAGTTTTGGAGCCTCTGGCTGCAGCATTTGCTCCATTGTCTCAGGGCTGAGTGAGCTACTAGAGGGGCTCCATTTTCTTAGTACCAGGAATGGGCTCCATCATCTACACTCCCCCTCCCCAAACCACACAGGGGTTATGGCCTCTGTAATCACAGCCTCTGTTGGCCTCTTTTTTTTTTTTTCTGATCTGGGCCATGGAGGAGGAAGCCAAGTCACTCCCTCTCTGGGGTTCCACTCTGGCCGCGGGATGTCCCATCCATTTGGTCCTGGTCCAGGGTCACAGGCCTGTATTTGGTATCCTGGACCAATCACCGTGGCTGGACCAGGCATGCGGATGGGCCGGCGGCTGGGTAATCCCAGCTGGGTCTGCCTAGGACCAGAGTTCAGGGCCCTCCCAGAAACTGGCCTGTGCCTGCTTCTTCCCATTGTGGGGGCAGTGGCACAGGCCCCGTGCTGTCCCAATTAGCCACACACAGTTTAAAAGAATTTTTTCCTTTTTCATCTGATGGATCAAAGCTAGAAGGTTTAAGCAGTGTCCATGGTACCTTTTCTTCACCCTTCATTTTCCACTCAGGAGTTGATTTGAAAATAGTACTCCCCACTAAATCCTTCATGGTAGTCTTAAAAAGCAAGGTAAATACAGGAACCAAGAAAACAACAAACATTTGTGTGTACATCTGTATACATCTATAAACATCTGGGGTTCTTCAAACTCTGTCCCATTTTTAACTACTAGTAGTTCAATATCCCTTTCTCTAATAGGCTTCTTTGAAACCTTTATATTTGATGGCCTGAGAGAACCATATGCCCATGATTTACACTTGATGCAGCAGTACCAAGGCACTCCAGTGCTGAATACTGGCTCCAACAATGTGCTTCCCCACCCTTTTGTGTGAACTTGAGAAGCATTCCAACTGCCCACTTATTCTTTGACCGAGTCCCTGTTCAGGTGCCAAATGTAGAAATTTGTTGTTCTCTCAGTGTACACCAGGGAGGAGCAGTGGTGGGGATGAGGAAAAGATAGACAAGAGACAAGAGCTGGGTCAGGTGGAGGCCGCTTTACTAGATGAGTAAGAGGACAGGACAACAACAGTAGGGGCATTTATTTATACTACTGCAAAGTTAGTATCACAAGACACAAGGTTGCCTAGTGACTGATGACTGAAATTCTCCAGGCAGGATATTTTTCTCAAGACTGGGGTAGCTTGAGTGTTTTAGGTGTTCTGGCTCTGTTCTGCACTCACACATATGGGCTATTTCCAGCTTCAGCCACTCCAGCTGTTACATCCATAATTTTATTTCTCCTCAGCACATTATTTTTGTTTCACATATATCAAAAATTACTCCCCTTCCAAGTTACAAATCAAATTGTGTGATATAGTTTGAACATCTCATATTAAAGATTGTCAGCTAGATTTTATACAGATCAACATGCAATTAGACTTTCCAGAAAAGGAATTTTTTGTGTGTATCTGTCCAACACAAATCTGAAGCATCTCAATAGATAAATTCTTTTGATATTTGTTTATCTGAAGCTGACAGAGAATCTCATTAAAGTAATGACAGTGAAGGAGATCACATAAAAATAAACGATGAAAGTAGATAAAATTTTCATTTCATGTCATAGGTAATATTTTTCTCATAATGAGTATTCTCCAAAATTAAAATAGAACTAGAAAAATCTAAGTCCCCACCAATTAAGTAATGTTTAAGCAAAGGTACTATAACTGTGCAATGTAATAAAACTACTGATAAATGAAGCAGCATGGGTAAGCCTTAAAAACAGGATCCTACATGAAAAAGACAGATGCAAAGTGCTACATATTGTATTATTGTATTCATGTAAAATATACAGAAAATGCAACACTTTAAAGACAGAATGTAGAATAATGTCTTCCAGGGCCTACAGTTGAGAATGAGATTATGTATAAATGAATAAGAAATCTTTGGAGGAGGAGGATTAAGATGCTTCAAAATAAAATTCTGCAATGGTTGCATTATTCTGTAAAATTACTAAAACAAAGTGTAGACTTAAAATAGGTGAATTATTTGTATGTAAATTGTGCCTTAATGAAGCTGTTGAGAATAATAAAGATGGGGAGATAGACAGATTTGAAGAGAAAAAATTAAAATAATTTTATTCTTTTCAAGACAATGATATTTAATTTGTACATATTCTTAAGCATATATGTCAGTTGTATGTATCTCAAACTTGTTTCTTCATGTTCCATGCTTGTTTAGAAATAAACGTGTTTTTTCTGTATCATTGGTTCTCTACTGAATCATTTATTTCCAGAAACTGGAGACAGCTATAATATAGGTATGACTTCTCATTCTGAGTGTACATCATTTACTTTTTGGAACAAAATCTATATAGATGTCTACTAGAGGTGACTTAGTGAAACATTTGAGGTATTAATTTGTAAACATTCTAACATTATTATTGTTTTTGCAGAAGAGATACCAGTTCAAATTCCAATAATGAAGTCACCTTTGGACAAGATCCAACTCGTTCCTGGGCAGGCATTACCCACTGGATTCCCTGGACCATTCATTTTTGCTGATAGTTTGTCTTCTGTGGAAACTCTGTTGACCAACATTCAGGTCGACAATATTTCTATAAACAAAATAAATGTAATACAAGACATAAGCACCTACATAAATTATGTAATATTTGAGAAATTAAAACAGGTAAGGTGAAGTGCATATCATTTACTATACTTTGACAGGGTCTGCTGAAAGTGGCTTTGGATAATGCTCGCATCCAGGAGAAGCAAATTCAGCAAGAAAAGAAGGAACTGCGAATGGAGCTCTATAGAGAGAAAGAAATTAGAGAAAATCTTGAAAGACAACTTGCAGTTGAGCTTCAAAACAGAAGTAAGTTTAACAAACTGAGTTGCAGAGTAAATGTTATATTGAATATGTTATTAGTAAAAGAAATATTGTCAGAAATAGTTTGGAATTCATGAAAAGAAGTAACAAGCTACAAATAAAATACTGTAAGAATTTATATTATCTGTATTTCTAATAACAATAATTAACACTGTATTTATACTTGGGCTTTGTTGCAAATTTAGAAACAGAAATATTTATCGTTTTCTTATTTTATAAAATGCACCTGGGTAAAGATAATATTACAATTCATTATATATGAAATTCTTACACTTTCCTAGGCACAATGCCAGATTCTGGGAAGATAAAGTGAGTAAAACTCAGTCCCTGTCCTTGAGGACCTTACATTTTAGATGATTAAAAAAAAGTTCATTTCAAAATAAAGTGGCAAGGAGAGTTATGCAGAACCTGTATATTCATGCAGAGAAGAGGTTTGGTTAGCTTAGCTTGTGGTGGTAAAAAAGTAGAGGAATACATGCTGATGCTGACCCTTTCATCTGAGTTTTAAAAGATCAATAGCCTAAACAGTATACTCGAATATGAGAGTAATTTGATCATTCTAGATGGTGCTATCAGTGTAGTCATGGAGACAAGAAACTTCACACAGGGGAGACTATATACAATTTGTTATTATAGTAGTTTTGAGTTTTGTGGAGTGAGTGGTATGAAGTGATACAGAAAGTTGAAGGTAGAAGTTAAATTATGAAGAATATTTTTAGTCATGTAGAAGAGTACCTTCTATTTTACCCTCTAGGAAATTGAAAGTAGTAGAAGATGAATAAGAGTATGATGTGCTATGGTTTCAATTGTATTGATCACTCTTAATATTGGGGATTAATTCGAGAAGTATAAAACTAGATGCAAGGAAACTTAGCAAAAGTAGATTGCTGTCTTCCAATCAGTGATGATGAAGACTAAGTAAGAAAGAGGAAGCATAAATGGGGATAAAAGATACAGAAGAGAAATACCATATTGTTCACAAGTAGTATTATTTTTCCAACCACGGGGGGATGTTGATTATCTACAGTAACATATAAATGAACTAGTTTATATCAAAACCACACTAAATTCAAATCTTCAAATAAATTTATTTAAAAAATTTCACATATTCCCTGTACTTACCATAAAACACTAAACAGCAACAACAGAAAATACAATAGTTAATTTTATCTTCTTTTCTTTCCCTATTTACCCTTCTATGTAAGTATCACAGAGCCTAAAATGAGAAAACAAGGTTGGGAAGGAGAGGGAAAGAGAGGGAGAGAAAATATAAATAAAGAATATAGATAAAACTGTGAGCAAGTATGGATGATTCTACTTGAGTAAAATCTGCTACATTAACTTTATTTTAATTCATAGTAGCATATTGTACTCTGAAATGTGTTTCAAGTGATTGAAAAAATACTGTGTGTATTTTCCTTAAGGACTAAAAAACATTGCTTTAATTCAAAGTGAAATTTCAATGACTGCATTTAAACAGAATTAAATGTTTTCCTTAACTTAGCAAATTTCTTAAATACTATAAAATGGAGACTAAATGTTATTTTGATGTTTGAAAAAATTAGTATATGTCTGATATTTGATTTGAAAAGTATATCATAATTATTATTAATTATACAGTTTTCAGAGTAGTAGGTTATAGCTTTGTTTAAAATATATGAAAAAATAAATTTGAGCTGACAATATATACAATATTTTTGAATTCTTAAACTTACTGAAAGTAATTTTTTCTTATCAAAGACATTGCTGTCAATAATTTCAATATATATAGAATGATGATTTAAATAATTTATGATGGGTTTCAATGAATCTATGAATACAATTATGATAGTAAAGTAATTTTATCTTCTATCTTAATTAGTGATGTTTCATCAAAAATGATAGAAACTACATTATTTCATTATCTATGTCTCCAGAAGTGTGTTACTTCCTTACTGTTCTGTAATTTTTATTTCAATTTCACGGCAATTTACTTGAGTAACTAACTCTCTTCAAGTTGCTAAAAAGCTATTGAATTATGAAATAAATATAGATGAGATTTTTAGCAACAAATTTAGTTTAATTAAACTATGTAAATTACATGTTAATGAACTTGACATTTTAAAATATCATATATTTTGGTTAATATTCTGTATTTTTCTGTTGCCATAACATCAATAGTTTAATTTTCAAAAGCCTGACTTAGGGAAAACTTCTACCCACTTAGAATTTTGCTAGGAAGCAATAAATTGTTGAAACTTAATAATGCTATTTGAAAAATCTATCATAAAATTAAGATTTCAGAGATTTGAAATGCATTGAGGCAGTTAAAATTTCTTGTTGTGGCACAAAATCTTGAAAGTTGAGGAACAGCTATTTTTAGTTCTTTCCCTTTTCATAGAAACATAGTCGTGGTTGCACATTATTACTTGATTATATAATAATTTTCAAAAATTACTGTATATTTGTTGTGTATATGGAGAGAGAGGAAGACACATTACTTTAAAAAGTAGACATTTGTCTTTGCAATTTTTAACATTTCAGTGAATAAACCCTTGCTTCTTTCAGTTTTAACGACCATGTTATGCACCCCAACTTACATTTTCAGGATACACTTTTGTATTTTAAAATATATGAAGCAATAACCCAATCAATAATGGGAATAATTTTCTTAAAATCATTATAAAATATTTAATACTGTCATTAAATACGTGTGAGTCAAGGTTGAAAGCAAATGTTACCGCTATTACTGCCATTGTAAAAATATAAAAGGTAGTTGTTTGATTAATCTAGAGTAAACACAACGTTTATTTGCATGAGCCAAATAAAAGTTAAGACCAAAAGAAGTTAATAGTATGTCAGTTGAAACGTTTATATCTCTATCACATTTCACAGCTGTTTCTATGCTTTATAATTCATCAGAAGTAGAAAACCTATTATGCTGACTAAGTTTTTGCAAACTACCTTTCCACATTTCAGCTAACATGCAAAAACGCCTGAAGAAGGAAAAGAAAGCCAAGAGAAAACTTCAGGAAGCCTTGCAATTCGAATCAAAGCGCAGGGAGCAAGTGGAACAGGCACTTAAGCAAAGTGCTAGTAGTGACAGTGGCCTGAGGATGTTGAAAGGTAATGTCTGATTTGTACTTTCCCCATCAAGGTAAACAAAGCAAAACTTAAATCAAACCAGGAAGAGAGAGGGGAGAAAAAAGAACAAAAAAGAGAAAGAAAGAGTATGGGGGGAGAAAGGCAGGAGGAGAAAGGAAGGAAGAAGGAAGGAAGGAAGGAAGGAATTGAGGAGAGGAGGGAGGGAGGGAGGGAGGGAGGAAAGAAAGGAGGGAGGGAAGGAGGGAAGGAGGAAGGGGTGGAGAGAAGCAGGAAGGCAGAGGAAGGGAAGGAAGGAAAAAGTTTTCTTGGGGATAATTAAAAAATCTATTTGCATCCAAGTGATTTAGGACATGAATTAAACTAGTCAAAATAATATCTACTTTGGGAGATACAAAAGGTATAGGAATAAACAAAAACTGCTGACTTTTGCAGTAGAAGCAGTAACACTGATTTGTCCCCTACAACTGAAATATAAGTCCTTTATGTCCATTCATGTTAGATAAGCTAATGTTTAGGGAGTTTGATTTTGATTATTTATAGGATGCTGATTCCTTTAATGCAGACTGCATCAGTGTTGATATCTTTAGGAGCATCTGGTCGAAAAAGAGTGTTTTAAGTAAATCTCTGGAGATTTTATGGGAAAAGGTGCTTAAATAATGAAAGATCTTAATTTCAAACATTTTAATTTTATTTATAATTCTTAAAATTCTCTTAAAAATTCTTTTATTTTTAATTTAAATCATTTTAATTTTAATTTTAAAACCACATAATATTGTTTCATCTCATTCAACCCAATATCAAGTAAATGTTCAATTAAATGCACACATCCATACAAACATACAAAATCTTTAAAAAAGTTATTTTATTAGTACATGTTTGCAATACATGAATTTTATGTTCATCTTAGGGGATAGGTACATGTATGTAACATATACCTCTTACCATCCTCACTCACATCCCTTTCTCCATCTCTAGATCCCTATTCCCCATTTTCATTATTATTAATATTATTATTAATTTACTTCATATTTATGATGTATAAGTTTACATTCAGTTGTGGGTATGCGGTACATGTACATGATGCATTTTAAGACTTTTGACTTCTCCTTCTCTTCACCCCTACCCTCAGTCTCTTAGACCCTTTCCCATTTGCAAAAGGTCTCTTTTTCCCTTTCCTTCAATCAAGAATTTTTTTCTTTATTTTCACTTTGCTTTACTCAAATAAGAGATACCATATGGTATTTACGCTTGTGTATCAGACTTATTTTACTTAACATATTTTCCAGATGTGTGCACTTTTCTACAAATATCTCAAACATGTCTTTCTTTATAACCTAATAGTATTTCATTGTGTACAGTCACCACATTTTTTATCCACTTGTCCGTTGATGGACATACAGGCTGCTTCTAGGATTTGGCCATTATGAATTATGTGACTATAAACATTGGTATACATGTATCACTGTAATATAATGTGTTCAGCTCTTTTGGGATGATATCCAGAAGAGCAATAGCTGGGTCAAATGGAAATTCTAATGTTAGTTCTTTAAGAAATCTCCATACAAGGGGCTGGGGATTTAGCTCAGCGGCAAAGCGCCTGCCTGGCAAGCGCAAGGTCGTGAGTTCGGTTCCCGGTACCGGAGAAAAAAAAAAAAAAAAAGAAATCTCCATACTGAGTTCCACAGAATATTTTTATGTCATGATTTCTAGGCTTTGTAATTTATTTGAAGAGAAAAATAGAGAAACATTTCCTCCTAGAATCAATATGGCATAAAGATCACAAATATAATGTGCATTTTGTACTTAAATTGAGATTACCATAGAGATAATATCATCTATCACTTCTTACGAATAGAAAATATACCATAAGGATGGGAAACTTCTACTTCAGCAATTAAACTCATGATCTTTTTCTTGTTCTTCAGTCAGGGTACCTTAACATGATAATTTCAGAGGATATTAATAGATTACTTTCCTCAAACTAATCTTTAGGAAATGAAAAAATAAAGAAGTATTTACTATATACCTGCAAATATATACTTAACTTTAGAATTCAGTTATAATTTATAATATTCTCCAGCACCATTAAAAACAAACAAGCATACACAAAAATAAAGCAATGTTGTCAAGGGTTGGCACTACAAGCACCAATGTTTTCACTTACTGCAGTTTTCCTTTTAAATAAAATAGGAGTTCTTAATCTTTAATGTCAATTCTTTCAGACACTGGAGTTCCAGATACTGAAATAGAAAGTAATGGGACTCTCCATGATAATGCTGCTATGCAAGGTATGATTAATAGCATACTTCTTCCTACAGATACTGGGAATGTTACCCCTGTGATCGAATGAGGGTGACCTCCTTTGGTGGTACTCTTCATATAAATGGAATAAAGAAATTTACTTCTTGCTCTCTGACATAGAAAGTAATTTAAATGTTTTTTTGTAGAAAGACTTATGTAGTTAATTGGACTTTGAAAACCCAGTGGCTATAGAGATACATAAGGATAGTAATTTCAATATACGTTGTGAAGAAATTTCTTGTATGTTTAGCTATTACAAGGATATGCATTTATATGTTAGTCATATGTTCTAAAAATGTACAAATTCAAATTTAATATTCCTTTCAGAAGTGTACATGTACTTTTAAAAATCCACTATTTTACTGTGCATGTTATAATAATCATAAACTATCATAATCATAAACTATTTCAAAAGTGTTTTGGCCAAGAATGGTGTTCAATGCCTATAATATCTGCACTTGGAAGGCTGAAGCAGGAGGATTACAAGTTTCAGGCCAGCCTAGATTATATTTATTTTTACATTTATTGTAAAATATAGCCACACTGTAATGAAAAAAGACAATTCTACAAGAAAATTATTCCCTATCTTTGTAAAACAAAGACAACCATCAATCTGTTGCTTGCTAGAAGTTTAGTAAATTGTTACTTTTCTATTGTGGGATGACTGAATTTTTGTGAAGGAAACAGAACTAGGTGTGACCAAAAGCTGTATTTGGATTTATATGAAGTTCACCATTTTATGTAGCTGCTTCAGGAAATTTGTAAACTCCTATTTACTTAGTTCTGAAACTCTTTACAAAGCCATGAGTGTTAGAGCTCGTGGATCTTCTCATAATGCCTGATTCTACTGTAGCTGGATTGACGCAATTAATGTTTTAACTGTGTTAAATGTTTTTCTTTAGTGTGTGTGTCTGTGTGTGTATGTGTGTGTGTGTATGTTAAATGTGAAAGCATGTACACTCATTCAGTGAAATTTTCCCATTTTTTTATCCCCATTTCATCCCTCAATTTAATGACTATGTCTGTGTGGGCAAAGATAATGCCAATAGATTTCAGTGTTTGCCCAAATTATTCCAAAAGCTAAATTCATACAGAAAGTTTCACTAGCTGTAGGCCTGAAGTTTGCAGCTGCCTCATATACTAGGGCTATAGTGAGTTTGAATAACCTGAGGCATTTATTTGATCCTTTATACATTAATGACATAACTATGAACACAGCCTCTAAACAGCATTGAGCATGACTGCACTCCTACTCTGAATGGTATATATGCTCAGCTTTAGAACTGGAGGGAGCAAACCAAACACATTTTCAGTAGTTCTTACCTTTATTAAGTTTAACCTTATACCTCCATCCATTTCGTTGCTGTTTAGTTTATATGTTGTCTTTAAATCATAGTAGTAGTAACATCATTCCGAACTCTGAGATAAATGCAAACTTCTAAACTTTCTTCACTACTTCATTTTCAAAAAACAGACAGCCAAATTTATTAGTGGGTGGTCATTTTGATGATATCCGCAAAAGTACATGTACTTGTCATTTGACTCCAAATTTTGTAAATTTAGGAAGTCTGAAAACAATGGCACTTACATATTAAGTTGCACTTAGGGAAGGACATATTTAATGTTTGTTTTCTCTGAGTGTTTAAAATAAGTTCCTCTATATTTTGCTGACAAAGCATAATAGAATTAGATACAGCTTTAAAGCAATTAATGCAAAACATTTTAAAGCAAGGAAATTAACTTACAATGCTTTCAAATTAAAAATAAAATTTTCTAATATTTATCATTACTATTATCACATAAAATAATAAAGTGTGTTACTATTCTTTAATGTTACCTGCTTCCTAGATTACATTTAATAGTATTTATGATAAATATGATAAAAATGGAAAAGCAAACTTTCTCTCCTCTTTTAGCACAACACTTAAGCTCCCATCAACATTTTATGGAAAATTTCGGTGAGTGTTTTATGTTAAAATCACAATAGCTTCATACTTTAAAATAAAACAGGCTATTTTGTGCAAAAATTATTTGTTTTGTTATCCAGGAAAATATCTGCCTGGAAATAGTATGAGAACTAATTTTAAAAATAGTTCAAGTCAGTCAGGTCATATTATTACCTAAAATATGCCAATTAATTTCCATATTATTTGAGATGCTTAGAATTGGAGGATTATTATATATTTACCTATGCCCTTCACAAAAATATAACGCTTGAAAAACATGAAATGCAAGTTTAGCCATTAACTTTTCATTTTTGCTAATAGTTTTGTTTTTGTGCATAATAGATTTTTTCCTTTGGAGTGATGTAACTTAGCTGTTTTCATCTTTCTACCTCCTTCAGGAACCCACTTTTTCAACCTGAAAGATTATTTCCTACCATTGTTTTGAGGGTCAATTTATGCATGATAATGCAAAGCCATTTTCAAAATTTATCTTCATAATTGCAAAAAATTCCTGCTTCTTTTAAGTCATTTATATTACTCTTGTCAATAACGCTGATGGATAGAAATCTATCATTAACCCACCATACTCCCTTTGAATACAATTAGTTCTTCTGTGATATTTCCTTAAAAGAATATAAAAGAAATGTCAAAATGTTTTGTGGTTGTCCTTAAAAGCCATAAAGTTATATCCTACTTTATTGTCATAATTCCCACATAAATTTTAATGCAAATTACTCATACACCAGGATATATATGAATATAAATATTTAATCAGCTTATTTCATTTCTTATATGCTTTCAATGTGTTTGACAAACCAGATATCATCAATAGACTACATTCCAATAAAAAAGATATCTGTACCAGTTATATTTTAACAGTCTACCACAATAACTCCTCCTGAAGGTTTTCAGGTAGTCTCACAATGTACACATACTCAGTCTGATGTCTATGTCCACTATCTCTAGAGGTGAAGTTTTAATTGGGCTATGCAAAGCACTATAGTTCCATTCAGATTCCTGTAACTCAGATGGGGACCTGCAAAGCAACATATCAACTATCTTATCAACCAATCTCTTTTTCACATAAAATAGCACACCAGGTGTCATTAAGTGCATCTTTGGATCAATGATTTTTGCAAATGACATTCAGGTGCCATTCATGTAGGGCTTTTTGCTGATAAAAGCAAACTAAATTAGTACACCTACAGGTGAGCTGATAACTAAAATGAAATAGCAGTACCATTAGCTAACAAAGTAATATTTTCTCTTTACTGCATTCTGCCATTTAGTTATTATCCTACTGGAAATCTAATTATAATCCTTTTACTCCCTAGTCAAACTTCACAGTTTTTGCAAGCTTAGCACTGACAAGTGCTTTCATTACATTTGATAGCCTGTGCTCAGATTGACTTAACTTCAGTTGGAGACTTAAAAGCTGTTTCAGTTTCACAGATTCCCTGTGTGCACATTACTGCAACAGCTCCTTTAATTAATTAGCATGAACATCAGTAACATGAACTGCTGAACAGAAAATATCATTTTATGATAGCAGAGAGACTTCTCCTTTTGCAGGTTTACATCTTAGTTAACTTTTGCATGACTATATTTTATTGTTAGGGGATCTGGGTACACTCCACAGGAAGTGTTTCTTAAATTTTTGAAAATGGGCATCATTTTAATAATCACAGGTAAAACAAACACAGAATCTGAAGCTCCTAAATTTTGAAAGCAAAAAGCATTCATTAATTTTCTAGTCAAAATAAAACAATAAAAATGCTCAGTGGAAGTAACACCTTGAATTCTAAGTGCACAGTAATATACTATTTTTTGTTCTGCTACCAGATCAGTTTGGGTGAAAAAAAATCAAGGAAATTGTTCTTCCAAATGGAATATCAGTATCTGTGAATAATTTTTACAGTTGCTTTTTTGCCTATATGTTTGATAAAGACACAAGACGATTAAACACTGAGATATATTTTCTTCTGATACTTTTCTATAAACATGGTAGAAGTTTAAATATTTTTCCGGCTTTTTTCTACTAAGACACTAGAAGTAGCTGTTAAAAGCAGCCTATAGGCCAAAATAAAATTTTATGTAAAATTAAAATTATTAAACCTTTGTTTCCCTCTGAGCCATTTTTTTTTCAGATAAAAAGCTGTAAAAGATTATACTGAATACAGACTGATAACTCAGTGATGTGAAATTCATGATCTCACTCATTTATTACTGGTAAAGATACCAGTGACAATTAAAAGCAAATTGACTGAAAGTGCCATTTGACTCTAATAGCAGATGATATAATTTTAAATTCTGTATATTAAAAATTGCATTTTACATCATAATATATGTTATAAGCAGAGATAATTTTAACTTCTTTATATAAAAATAACATATTTTAAAAATAATTATACTGTATTGCATAATGATATGTATTATAATTGTAATATGAATATTCAAATACATAATTTAACTTGAAATATATATGGCATGTACAAAGAGTGATCAAAACATACAGTGAATGTTTAAAGTTTAAAAATTTGTTACTCTAAGACATATCCCATGATTCCTCTCAAAATACTCCCTTTTTTCCTTGAATACACTTATCATGCATGTCTGTTTGAGAGGTGTTAAAAATATATAAAAATATATGGCGAATGCTACTAGCAAGTGCCAGCCAAGAGAAAGATAGCCTTGTAAAAACATTACAGTATATTTTCATCCACATTTTCACTGGATGTGGCACTGTGAAACTTCTGAAACTTCCACAAAGTCAAAAAGAGCAGGAAATGTAAAATTCGATCAGTTAAAGACATTGATGCAGTCATAACAGTGTAACTAAAGACATTCATGAGAGAGGACTTCCAGAACTGCTTCAGAAAGTGGCGAGAATGATCGGAAAATTCTGATAGACTCAAGCAGAAGCACATTGAGGAGGATTAATGGCAATGTGCCTTTTGCTGTAATAAATTTTTTAAAAATTTAAATATTTACCATATTTTGATCATACATTTCATATTCTTATCTCTGCTATCAAAATTAAT